AATATTAAGCTTGTCAGTTTCAATGGTCATTTCGATATGTTTGAATAAAAAAGCGCTAAAATATGATATTTGAGGTAAATAGATTAGCAATTAGTTCTCATTTCAGTGTACATGATTATTCTAATTTAAAGAATCATTGATCACCCATTTTTGGTTACTTGAATTCGAAAATCAAAACGTACGGTTAAACTATTAAAATAACATACTGCAGATGTGCAGAAGACATTACTATGTCAAATAACAGTATATGTTTTTTTGAAGTTTCTATTTACATGTAGTTTCTTTGTGTTTCCAAACATCTTGCAAATATTTATATTCAATATGACTAATCACATTTTGTCGATTTTAGAACAATTTGATGTCTTAATTGACAAAATTTGATTATTCATATTGAGTATAAATATTTAGTGCATTTTCAGCTTTATTTTTTCCTATTTTGTGCACAGCGTGGCCAAATGTTATAAATTTTCAATATGTATAACAAATTTAGGACATCACAAGTGACATTTGTCCAGATAATATTATTTTATAAGCTAGAATAATTTTATCATGTTTGCAATTTCAAAGTCCAGCAATGACTTTTCCTTTATTTATGTTTTATAGTCTTTCAACATATTTTAATTCAATGTTGCACAGGGAATGCGTGGGACAAAAGTGTTCGGAAGAAAATGTCAAAAATAAATTTAAAGTCTACTTTATTAAAAGTTGGTGATTTGATTGTTTTTTGAATGCAGTCGAAGATGACTAGAAAAGACATGTTTAATGCCTTGCCTTATTTTGAACCAAAGGATCTGCTGAAAACAGACGAAGAGTGAAACTATACGTGACGATCTAAAACAAACTTAAATTGGCATTATATTTTCAAAACATGCAACCTTTTTTTTTCATTTTTTATTATGTCGACTTATATTTTGAATTTGAGTGCAGTAGCGGAACCAGAGCTTCAAAAGGGGGTTAAGGAACTTTATCCGGATATGCCTGTTATGTGTGAAGGACCATTTGGGTCACAATGCAATTGTTGACAAGTTCGCTAGAAAAACGTGTTTCATTTTGTTCGAGTATCCTAAAGCATGATTTTGTTTTAATGTGTAGGATGAATTTCTGATAAACTGTACATGTGTGTATGATATTCTCCTGTGGTTGTATTTATTTTCAAGGTTATGAAATTATTTCTATATCTGTCTTTTTTTTTATCACGCACGACATATTAAACCCCTATTCAAATACTTAGATTGTCACAAAATTTCATTATGAGTTTCTTCATGGTTATCAGAGCAGTGAACAGCTGAACAGAAATACGAGTAGTTGAGTTTTTACTTGATGCAGATATAAAACTAAGAAGGTTTTATTGTTACTTAAAAGGAAAGCTTTACATATATGTGTAGTAGTAGATTTTTTATGTTTAGTGCATCATTGAATTTTTACATAGCATGCACGTATATTACAAAAATGGTTCACATAAATAATATTGACAGAGTTTAATGTTTGAATTAGTTGACAGAGGAAACATATTGTAGAAAATGAAAATTGCACTAAATCTCGGGCGTCCAAAGCACTTTTCTGGATTTACCTTCATCATGAACGCTAAAAACCGAACATAAATACATAAGAAGAAGACCCATTGGTGGCATTGGGCTGTTGTTTCTTTGACACATTCTTCGTTTCCAATCTCTATTCTATAAACACATTAAAAGCTGTATGATCAATAGGGACATTAAAAGCGAAACGGATCAAGAGTCAACTTTGCCTGAGGGAGTTTGAACCTTAGCTTCTAACTAATTTCTACATTTATCAACGGAGAATTCAAGAAAAGTATTTAATAAATAATATAATTACCGGTACCACTCAATCACTGCTGAGATAATAATACCATCAAGGACTAAACATCAACTACTAGTAGTTAAAGGTTTCTCTCATGCTTTCAGATGTGGTCGATAGTCCTGGAGTTAATAAAGCATATTCAACTGATGATGTTGTGTTGCAAAACTAACATTCATATAGTTCCTTTGTAGCTCGAATATGTCTAAATGTATATCAATATTTTTTTTCCCGTTCTTCTAGCAGTTTGCATCAGATTTTCGGTTTTTCTGACGACCACTTAAGATCATAATAAGAATCAACAAGCTAGAGAACCGTTGAAAACCACAAATTTGCATTTGGTAATAACGTCATATAAAAAATATAATTCTAGCTACCAATACCAAATACACTTATTTTAATATTTAATTGACTTGACATGTGAACATTTGAAATAAGAAGGGGACTGTACAATATTACGTCTACAGCTGAATGAATAGGTTAGCTAGCTTGCACAAAGTTAGTGCTATTTAGCAGTGAGTTGTATTGCTCAACTCTGGTAAATCGGCCATTCAGTTACTAAAACAAGTTGAGACTGTTTATCAAAAATATCAACATCTATGTTAGTAAAGCTTACTATAGTTGGATGAAAATGTTTACTTTATATGTCAATATTAGTAATTAACGAGTCGATTTTGTCGCATGGCATACAAAAACATACGGTATATTTATTTATATAAAAAGAGCGCCATTCTCGAGATTTCCTCTTCCTCTTCCGCCGCTTTTAAATTTGAACTTGTCCGCACCCGTTCTCCAAAACCGCTTCTCAGATTAACTTAGGGTTCTAACAATATGTTAGACTAACATGTCTAGTGGTGCAATCAGGGTTTTGTTTGAGCAATGAGGTTTGTAAAGGAGTACTTTGAGGGGCAAAAAGAAAGGAGGGTTTTACTATAGAACCCTATGGGATTTTATTTTTAAAAATGTTCAAATGATTATAAATTGAAAACCGTTTGTGATAGACACAATCTTTTTAATTGAAAATGTTCCAAATGATAAAGCACATTAAATGAAACAAAAGGTTAGTCCTCAGGGGTTATCCCCACCCCCTGCCATTTGAGAAAGTTTTAATATCTTCTAAGTGGTCATGATCCCCACCCCTAAACCATATATATTCTGGTTTGTTATGATAAAGCAAATCAAATGAAATACAGGGTTAGTCCCCATGAGTCACCCCCACCCCCTGCCATTTTAGAAAGTTCTTATATCTTGTAAATGGTCGAGATCCCCACCCTAAACCATATATATTCTGGTTAGTCATGATATAGCACATCAACTAAAATAAAGGGTAAGTCCCCAGGGGTCACCCCCACCCCTGCCATTTGAAAAAGTTCTAATATTTTGTTAGTTGTCGAGATCCCTACCCCTAAACCATATATATTCCTGTTCGTCATGTCACAAAGATTCGAATGATATAAAGGGTCAGTCCACAGGGGTTCCCCCCACCCCTATGATCAATATCTTGTAAATGGTCGAGATCCCCACCCCTATACCATATATATTCCTATTTGTCATGTCAAGAAGATTTGAATGATATATAGGGTCAGTCCCCAGGGATCACCCCCATCCCCTGCCATTTTAGAAAGTTCTAATATCTTGCAAATGGTTGAGATCCCCACCCCTAAAGCATATATATTCCTCTTCGTCATGTCACAAAGATTCGAAAGACATATAGGGTCAGTCCCCAGGGGCCCCCACCCCCAATGATCTAATATCTTGTAAATGGTCAAGATCCCCACCCCTAGACCATATATAGTCCTATTCGTCATGTCAAGAAGATTTGAATGATATACAGGGTCAGTCCCCAGGCATCACTAATGCATATAACTATACAGGACCAAACCAATTTTCACTGGACTATGTGATGTCGGGCGACCTGGAAATGACGAATTATGGGAGCTTCGTTTGGGAGACTTCGTAACAGCATCCTGTTACAATCATTTCTTGTTACTATTAACATTATGTAGATGAAAATTTTATTTCATATATTTTATATTGTTATATGTTGTATACCAAACCTTTCTTAAATTGTCCGATTTCAAATTCAGAAAATATTCCGAAAGTGATGTTTCAACTCCCTCAGACAAAGTTAACAATAGATGGATTTGGCTAATTTGTTTGGTCCTTTTGTGTCATATAGCTCTTCAACTGCTTCGGTTCTTATAAATCCTTTGCTTTCAAATATTCGGCTTTGAGCTTATCTGATGAAGGTTAATCAAGAAAAGCGCTTCGGATTCATGAAATTTACAAATTGTTGTTTACATTTTTTATATCATATCATGCATGTTTTTTGTTGTTGGTTTTTTTTTTTTTCTTCACTTGCTTGATTATGCTTATTTGTCTCGCTTGCTTGATTATGTGCCACCATACATGAATGTATGTGAATGCGAATCGGGATGATCGTCAGTACTCAACATGCGGCACCACGCGTGTTGCTCATGTAAGTACATATTAAGTGATAAGTCTAATGCGGTGATGTCACATTCGAGAAAAAGTGGACGGGATTGTGAATACGACAATGTGGAGATATTGACAGGCATTGACATACATTCATGTATGGTGTAGAATGCATTTTTGTCTTTTGGTCATTTTTCGTTTTTTTGTCATGGCGTTATCGGTTTGTCTTCGTCTTGTGAGTTTGATTATCAGTTTTATATCGAATATGATGGTTCCAATAATAACTGAAACTACTATTGTCAAACAACAACAAAAACAAATAATAATAAAACATAACACAAAGATTGGGCAACACGAACACTGCAAAACACCGGGGCTGATCTCAGTAATAAATAAAGGCAACAGTAGTATACCGGTGTTCAAAAGTCATAAATCGATTTAGAGAAAACAAATCCGGGTTACAAACCAAAATCGAGGGAAACACATCAACTATAAGAGGAAAACAAAGGAACAACAGGAACTCCGAAGTGCAACAAAAACAAACGCCAACACACATAGAAACGAACTATTTGATAACAACTGCCATAATAAGTCATCTATCCGATTGTTGTTGTGCAACAACAAAAAAAAAAACACCAAAGTAAAAAAAGTTACTTTTTAAAACGTATAGATTAATATTAAAAAGAAAAATATTATGTGAATTATTAGTCTGCAAAAATGCACATTGGAATATTTTTTTTATATAGCATTATTGTCGAGAATATGACGCAAAACTTGCAGAGATAGAAACGGAAGCTGAAGACAACTTCATTCGAAGGATCATAGCAGAAGCATATTCCGAGCAATGTAGGTATACTTTACCTATCATTATTAATATGATATCGCAGAATGCAAAGACTTGACGTTTCTTAAATCTGTTTGAAAAAATCCTTCCTTTTCATATTTTTTGATTTTTTCGGAATTATTTGACATGCTATGAACAACTGCTGTTTCAAATGCAAATCCTCTCCAATGCCACTCTGACAACTGTACACATTCTTCCTGGTGTGCATACTCACGCTTCATTTAAAGAACGACTGTATCCTCTCTTTAGCTTTAAACAGTGCTGTTCCCAAAAAATTACACCGAGGGCGAAATCAACAAAAGCCTGGACATATTTGTTGAGATTGCTGATTTGATATTTCAGGAATCAGTCGATATTCGAATATTGATTACGCCGTGTACCTCCATCTCGTGTAATTATATCTCTGTAATATTCAAATGAAAGGAGATGTGGAACGAATTTTAGATATCTTTTTTTATATATTTTTCGTGTAATTTGTCTTCATCCTAAAACTTGATCAATCGGCATGATTAAGGATGAAGACTCCAACGTGTGTCATAATTAATGATTTTTAATTAGATAAAATAACGTGACCATGCTGACGTCAAAGGTTCCTACCCTAGAAAATGTCTCAAACTGGACGATTTCGATCAAGTTTCTTTTCATTCACACGATTGACAGTGTAAACAGGAGCTTCCCTAATAACTCTCCAACCTAAGACAATTGACATCATCAATTTGAGTCATTGAGTGTGGAAATTACCCAAGGAAAAGACAATTCATCATCCGAAGAGTCCAACATCCACAGTTTTTCATTCAATCGCAACCTGTTTGTAACCTCAGATTGGTTCGTAAGATAAATAAAGCGCTTTTTGCGGTTTACTTTTTTCAAATAGAACTACTTTTAGTACAGAATGTATAAATGTCTAATGTCAAATAATCCACAAAAAAGGTTTCTTTTTTCCTCTGTTGTAGAAACATTATGGAAACAAGAAGTACAATTAAATTCCATTCTGTTCACTTCTGTTCCCTCAAATGATTTTAGCATTTAATTTGTGAAAGGCTAACAGCGGAATACTTATAAAATAAGGAGATGTGGTATGATTGCCAATGAGACAACTATTAATTAGGTGATAAAAAAAACCAACTGCTATTATAATGTGTTTGTTTCTCATTTGAACATTATACCCGTATAGATTTTTTTCAATATCATAAACCATAACATTTAAATAATTAAAAACCAATTGTTCAGGGATTAATTGAAGGTAATTCCACTCCAAATCCACATACTTTGATTGGGAAATATTTACTTCCGGTTAAAAATGCCAATTCTGTTGTCAGATAATAGCTTAATTTACGCTGTTTCCAAAAATAGCTGGTTAAAGTTTCTATATAATTTTGCAAAAACTTTCGGAGATAAGTAGGTTCTTTCGGTTTACATAATTTCACGTTCAGTTTCATTACAACCTTACTTCATACTGATTCCAAACATATAAAGTTCTAGTAACTTTTACATAAAAATAATGCAAACATGGATACTTCCGATAGATCACCTTCAAGGTCATTTTTCTGCAACCCAATGTAAAACACTTTGTCGTGTACCATTGTACTATGTTTATTAAGGTAATAAAACAAGGACCTTGAATCCAAAGACCTTAGGTCTCTTCTATTTATGGTTAATGAGTTAGATCTTTATATATCACCATACAGCTAATTTTGAATATAAGAGGGGAGAAATTTCACATTAAATTTAAACGTACCCTTTCAACCACCATTTGTGTGTTACGACATGTCACAACGAGAAGCAATAAAAAGCCAAAATAAAACATTAAAAAATAACCTTGACCTTTGACCATGACTTCATTATCATTTTGGTGCACCCAGGACCTCAAATAAAAAATTCTAGGTCTCTATCGCTTATGGTTTACCAGTTAAAAATACATATTACTAATAGCAATTACATAAGGGGGAATAACTCTCGTGTGGAGTGTCTGGACCGCTTTGGACACATTATTCTGGACATCCTGAGGATATTACGAACAATTTGGGAAAATAATTTTGTTGTAATCTTTTACTGTTGCGAAAGAGAAGTAAACACAAGAAAGACAGTGTTTGAGGAGATAACTTTTACAAAGAAAAGTGTTATGTTAAACGGTGTCATTTTTATCAGCTGGACATCTTGGGAAACAAAAAAGCCCGGTAAGAATTAAAAGTGGCGGAAGAACAAAAATAATAATCAGAACAAAATCAAAAGGTCTTTCCATGGAAAAGTGGAGGGATTAATAGACTATTTTCATATTACCGACTTTTGACTTCAGAGTGATAATTTTTCGACAGGTTCCCTACTCTGTGGTAGGAAATTCTGGTACTTGGTCAAGTAAGAGCAACGGAAAGTAAAACCAAGCTTACAATCGGTAAAATTTGAGGGGAAATTAATAACCGATGATTTTGTCGTGTATAGAAAACATCAAATAATTAATTTTTCCCCCAAATTGCACTGATTGTAATTTTAATTTTACTTCTAATAATTGCTCTTACATGATTGAGAACCAGAATGTCCTAACATTTCTATAGAGGGTCTAAATGGCCTATGTCACTCATATGGATCTATGTGTATTTTTAATATTTAAAACCATGACATAATTCATGATTGAGAGTCTCTTTGTAGTTGATCTTGTATTGCTGATAACTGTTATATCTTTTTATTTTCGTTTTATCTATTATAGTTTTGCCCCAAAAATGGTTAAAAATCGACATTCAAGGGCAATTACTATAGAAAGTGGACTGACATTTTCGGCTTTGTTCACCAATTGGTAGATCGTGTCTTGATGATAGTTTTTGCTGTTTATAGTTTCTGGTAATCTTATAAATATTTTGACCAACACTCCAAAAGGAAGAAATTAGTCTTGTAAGGTCAATAACTCCTTTAAGGAATCTACTGACGATTTATAACTTTTCTGGATCATCATTTTTACAGTTTTCTTGAGACAAAGAGAGAGACATAAAATATGTTTGAGATGTGTTTTTTCTTCCTCTGGTTCTTCTCAAACAATCTTGTCCGGGTTAAAATTGTTTTAAATTTTGACACTGGTTTGTTATTTTTGATGTAAAGGTTTATTACTTCAAGACGGTGTTTTGCATATCACCATATCTCCATCTGACATTGAACTTTGACCTGAATGTAAAAATATTTGGTTTTTTTTCAATTTTTTTGTCTGTAAACGTAACTTTTTAATCATTTGACATAGGCTTTTGATTATTGGCACATGAGTGCAACACCTAAAAATGACGTATAGCATATCATGGACGATGACCTCTGACTTTGATCTTTGTTAATGTCAAAGTATTGATTTGTATATGTCCGCCCCCTAAAAACCATTAATATTCATGCTTGCCATGACAATACCTTTTCAATGCAACTAAGTGTTTACCCTCTCCCTCATGCATTTTAAAGGCCGCGTTGACTAGTTTTCAGTTGCCCTATAGTGGTCACACTGTTTTTGTTTCTGCCCGTTAACATTTTTATATTGTACGATAAGCCTTTATTTTCTCAACAGATTTTAAATTCGTTTTGCACTGTGTTACTATCTATAAAAGGAAAGTACCTTTGTGGAGTGAAATTTTGACAAAAAATGTGATAAAAAACATAGTTTTTGTTGGAAAAAATCTTTGAAAGCATCATTTTCAAAAGTTGATATATATGTATCATAAGCTATTCAAAATTGTTTCCCGATGTATAAAGTAGGGTTTTTTTATTAAAAGAAGAGGGTGCAAATCAATGAAATATAAAGTATTAGCTACGATATGTTAGTCATAATTTACAATGAAAAAATTTACCAAACAGTGCTACTAGCAATATGATGCTACGTGGTTTTGTAACACTTTTTTCAAACATATGTACCGCCTACTGACGAGTCCTGAGGGTAAATGGTCATTCACTTATACATAATGTTTATTTGTATCATAGAAAAGAACAAAATTCACAAGGCCTAATCGATTTCTAAAATTATCTTTCGTTGTTCAACATTTATCATTCATTCGTTCATTTCTTAATTTGTGTAAATGTATAATACAGCACTGATCACTTTTATACAACATCTTAGTGTACCGGTATCACTTATATTTTTATCCATATAACAAAAATCTTGAAACAAGGAATAATTTTGCAATACCTTTTTCATTTCAAATACTAAAAATTCATAGTTCATATTTCTTCAAATCTACACCATTTGTCATAATTTATTTCTAGAAATTAAAAATCACAAATAAATTCATTATATCTACTAAGTTTGTATACCCCACACAACAAAGTAAATAAGTATAATGTTATTGACCCGTCAGTCCGTTTGTCCATCAGTCCTGTTCTTTTCATCGCAACTCCTCTGAAACCGTACAACAGAATTTCAGGAAACTTTGTAGATAGTTAAAACATGTATTATGTAGATGTTTCGTATTCACAAGAAGTCTTATATGTTGACTTTTGTAGGAGTTATGAGTATTTGAAGCATACTCATAAAGGTTCTTTAATTGACATCATTTTCATACTGGTCAAATTTTTTTTTAACTTCGATCTAGTCTTGGAGAAAACTTTTTCGTAGAAAGAACTAAAATAACACAGAAATGTACTTTCTAGATCATCTAGCCCCAAGCGCCATGCTAGGTATTGTCATTACTTAAAACCATAAGTTTTTTTCTAAGAAAAAAATTTGACATTTAAACGAAACCTTTTACTAATGATACTTGGAAGATCGTTAAATAATTTACAGTTTTTGTGGACAAACCAAAGTAAGAAATGACCACTACAAAGGAACATAAATAGAACCATACAAATAGTACATGCATGCAGGTTCTAAGATACCATCTCGCATATAAAAATCACATCATGCAGATATGCGCATAATGTGTAACTGTCCTAATTTTGAGATATTGCTGCTATCCAAAATCAAAAGTTGTGGAACATATTTTATCAGAATCATTTGATAATCCATGCAAGTAGTGTCTCCTCCATGACAGTCTTGAACATTCAAACTAAATATTAAATAAACGACACTGCTAATTTTGAGTGGTTGGTACAGGTTGTTTGTCACTGTGCAACACAGTTAAACATAGAACCCTATGGGAAAAACTGAGAACTCTTTTTGTCAAAAAACACTGGCATACATTCAAACATACTATCCACACTGATCTATATTCCAAATTGGTCCCTGATGTCAAAATTGTTATTATAACTCAATTTTTGTTAAGAGAAACTTTGAGAAATGTAATTATGTTTTGCTAGGATTTCAATGAAGTTCGAAAATATGTATATATATGACCTATAATGGTTTACTTTTATAAATTTTGACTTGGATGGAGAGTTGTCTCATTGGCACTCATACCACATCTTCTTATATCTATATATATTTGTATTTTTGATATATGTAGCCTATGTCAACACATCTCTTAAAAAATATATGCAATTTTAATACACTGTAAAATATACTTTTTTTTTATTACACAAGGTATACCTGCAAGATCTTCCTACACCACCAATATAAAATATATTGTCAATTCTCATTATCATTAGTCTTTGATGGAGATATTCGACAAAACTTCTGAATTTTTGTATTTTCATCTTTTGCATAAATTAAAAGGTAAGTTAACCCTGCCACATATTCATGTCCCTGTCGTAGGCCAGAAACTTCGTCAGTGTATGACATGTATGTCATATATCAAATTTATTGATACGTTTGGTTTGCGGACGTATTGTTTCTCGTCCGTGATACGTCCTTTGCTATTTTACATGCGTATAGTTGCTTGCATCCGCGTCATTTGGTCTCTGTTTGATAGTTGTTTCATTGGTTCCAACATCTTTTTTATTGTACCGTTACAAAATCTATAAAAAAAAAATGAAATTAACACTTTATAACATCTATGCTTCCGACGCACTTTTCATGATTAACCTTATTATGCTTTACCAGTGATAAAAAAAAAAAATGCTTTATTCAAATTAGTTTACCATTTGTTGTTAAGCCTTGATATCGTTTAAGTGGAACGATTTTGTATCAAATTAATTTCGGAATGCTTTTTACGATTATTGACATGATTCAACCATTTTGAAGAAGGAATCTATTCGATTTTTATCAGCTTTCTATATTTTAAAATAAGATATGCAATAAGAAGAATTGGATTTGCCGATGTCTTTATGATATTCCTTCTGGATAGTTTTAGAAAATTTGCGATTTTTTTCGTGCTTTCCCAAACAATTCATAATCTCTCGGTCTATAAAATTGTTCAGGTAAGTTCACTAGGCTCATATGTAAACTACTAAAAGTGTTGATATCGGTCCCAATAGATAGACAGCTAGTTTAGATTGACAATGTTGCTTGTGATTTTGTAGATGTATGAAATAATAGGTAAATCAGTATTATCAAAATATTTTGATTCGCATGTTAGAACATATCGATCATTCAATACACTTGATATATTGATGAAATAAAGCTTTCTATCAACATACTGAGTTTAAAGAAATGACGTTGTTTTTTTCTGAACGAGGCCACACAAGTTTTCTCTAATTTCAAATATGAAAGACTATGATTGTTTTATATAATACTAGACCACACCCGCGACATCGCGGGTCCGTGACTGAATTGAGTTATCTAATCGTGTATAAGTCTTATTTATTTTTAATCTGGATTTTTAGTATTGGTATTGTCATATGATAAAGTCATGTTGATTATAAGAGGCACGGTTTTCTCTGCTTTCAAAATTTTTCTGTTTGAACCCGTCGAACTGGAACTTATTAATTATTTGTAGTATTTATTATTTGAAAAACAAAAGGGCCCGGAGTGATGTAATTTGTAATCAACATCATTGTCCTATATTAGTTATATATAAAGTTGAATTCTTTAATTCGCCGTTTTTACGTCATGCCGGCTAACAAATTGGAAACTGTACCTACGCCTTTATTTCAAGTCTGGATTTTTAGTATTTGTATTGTTATCTTATAAAGTAAAACTGATTAAAAAACTTCAAACGGAAACAATGTGACAATGATTGAATTGAGTAGTGTCAACCCTGTATAATGACGAAGTTTAGGTGTGTTTGTGACCCGTGTATATAGCAAATTGTGATGCGCCTGACAGATGCGGACCGTACAGATTAGGAAATAGGTAATAGGTAACAGGCGACATATACTTAGGTATCTGTATCGGATTCGACCCGGAACTTGTTAATTATTGATATTGATATTGATATTATATTAACTATGTGGAAAACAAAAGGGCCTGGAATGGTTTAATTTTTAATCAACACCGTTGTCCTATATTAGTTATATATAAATTTGAATTCTTTGATACGTCGACTGAGCATCCGCGGAAGCGTATAAGACACGGATCGATAACGGTCTCCGAATTTGAATATTTTCTCAAAAATTTGCGTTTTCTGTGGAAAAAAGATTGTTTCAAAGACAAATTTAGGAAGTACAAAACACTACATTTATACGTCATATCACAAATATTTCCGACTTTGTATGGTTTCAGAGGAGTTGCGGCTCAATGAAATCGATCTCTTCCTTTAGTAGTATAGATATAACTTTCATCATACAACTCTTTTAGTGTTCTGGTTAGGAGGGAGAGATGATGACGTGGAAGGTTCATGGAAATGGTCGTCCGGAACGTCGTTTACATATACGAAGTGGAACTCAGGTGAACCAAATGACAATACCAATGTAAATGGCTATGTGCAGGATTATTTAATGACTAATGCAAATGGATGGTTTGATCATGAATCGCACAATGCTGTCAACTATATATGCGAAACAAAAGGTAAGTATTAACCCAAATTTGACTTGTGATAAAAGAACTAACTAACTGGCTCCTCAGTTATACTGCTGAGTTTAATGAATTTATATCGATTATTAATATATATGTCGTCTTTATTTTCTTGTGGTTATTCTGATGGTAACTGGATGGGCATGTTTTACTGCGTCTTTTATTTTATAAAATATGGTCTACTTTTGCAAGGGATGCACACATAAAACTTAAAATATTTTCATCACATTTTGTCTGGACCATCTTTAGTTCGTAATCGTTGTCTTTGTTTGTATTTTTCTAGAGTAGAATCATGTTGGTGGTTGATGTGTTTTATTGTATTGTCCAGTCTTTTTCTGATTCATGTCATGTTTCTATGTATCATTGTAACAGAACGTATATGATATACTTTTCACGCGTCATTGAAATAAACGAATTGGGTGTCTGTGTATCAAGGGATTCCACTAAGATGTCATAAACTAGGCTTACAGTCCTGTTCGGCGTAAAAGTAGTCACGGTCATAAGAAATATACACAACATGCAGTTCATACCGTAAACGTGTCTAATGATGAGTTCTGTCGGAAACTTTTGTCAACACAAATTGCGTTTCATACCATTAACGAAATCTAAATTCACTATTTCAAGAAACTAAAACACTTCTGTAATTGGCTCATTTCTGTTAAGTACCGATCGATTGAAATATTCATAGACATAACTAACCACAATCTTTTCAAACCCTTGACAACTGTTTCCAACGATGAGGAAATATAGCTTTAAATGTAGAAATTTAGGGTATCAATATGAGCAATCTTTTCAACAAAACTTTTGTGCCCAATAAAATACCCGATTATTTCAAAGTCAAAATTCCACGTACCATTTCACATACCTACACCAAGAATATTAACCACAAAAAGGTTCTGGAGACCTTTTCCTCCAAACCTCACGATTGCTCTTTTTATCGTCCTCATACAAATATAGTCCCGCTTGTTGATGATGAATAATTCAAACTAAAATCTTTGAACAGCCTTTTCTAATTTTCCAGTTTCTCATTTCTCATCAGTAACATATCCTCTGTTCCTGACGTTTACATATATCAATTGATACGTTACGCTCGTGTGTGTAGATTTAGACATATTTAGATAGTGTGTCAAGTTCAATAAATAAAAAGAAAAAAAATCGTAATAAATGCATTACATCAGTAAGAAACATTATAGATGTATTAAGAAAAGCCTTTCAACATGACAAATTATGTCGGTACTTTAATTAATGTCTTTATTCTTTTTATTATTTTTATTATTTATATTTTGTTCTTTGTATTAATCGGATGAGTCAAGCCATTTTCGTCTGATTTTAACAGTAAGTTCTTATGTTGTGTTGTTAAGCCACTGTCCCAGGTTAAGTATTTGGGGGCTTGCAAAACTTTTTTAACCCGCCACATTCTGTATGTGCCTGTCCAAAGTCATGAGCCTGAAATTTAGGGGTAGTCGTTTGGTGCTCTTTGTTTGTTTGTCTATTGTTTTGTACGGAAATCAGGTCCTTGGGTTTTTATAATGAATCGTTTTACATTTTGTTATGTCAGGCCTTTTATATCTTGCTTTGCGGTATAGACTTTTCTTCTTTTTGAATACCGTATACTTACCTGAAGTTGATGTCATTTTGTCTATAATGGATAGTGAGATATCATAAGAAATCATACCACATTTTTTTCATTTTTATTTATAAACTTGAAACATAAAATAAGACAATTCTTCTTTAGTCGTATCATGACTATAAAAGAGGATGTTTTCTTGAACCCAATATTTGTTCCATCTTTTTTTCCGGGTTGTAAAATATTCGTTCTGTGCAATGTCCGTCAAATCAAGATCAAAGATCAAGGACGGACAATTTCTTATTATTTAAGAGTCAGTATTTTTTCATATTCTGTTTTTTGAATAATATAATAATGTATGAAAGCAAGTAAAATTTTTCTATTTTATTTATCCAGAAATTCCATTGAAAATGGTAAAAAACTAGAAGAAATTGAAACATTTGTTTGTGATTAAACTATTTATCACCTACAACAAAATGAAATTCTTTATTTAGTGCTTAGAAAGTTTTTGACCTCATTAATAAACCACAATCATACAGATTGATACTTTTAACTCGTATAGGTGCCCAATATACAGCCATGTGAACAAAGACAGCTTTTGCGCTGTTAGAAGATTTAATGCAGTCAATAAAAGGTTAAAGAAACACATTTTTTTAAATTTAAAAAGTTTAGAGTAGATAATACAGGAGTTGTCAATACTTCAAGTGGAATATAAGCGGTCGAAACTCTGATATTTCAATACGTATTGTAACTTCTAGCATTAAAAAAACTTGTCGACTTTCCTTATTATCTGCTTTTTAATTTCATTATTAGCATTACAAGGAATAAAGGACTTTTATTTATACATTGTCTGTCAAAAAATAAATAAAAGATTTTTTTTTATAAACAAATAAAGAATATATTGGTTGATGTCAAGTTAAATCTATGCAAACAATCTTTCATGTTTAATTAAATGGTCTTTTGAAAAATCTTATTGCAAATGTATTTGCTGTAACTCGTTTAAACCCCTTTTCTGTAACGAAAAAGGAAAGTATGCTAGAAACACTTACTGGAAATGTGAAGATCTGATTGAAGCTTTAAATTTTCACCTGGACAACATATATGTAAGTTTCGGCGATAAAATGTATCGACAGGTAGTGAGTATTTCTATGGGCACTAACTGCGCCCCGTTAATACGCCCCTTTAATAGCAGATTTATTCCTGTATTGCTATGAATCTCAGTTTATGACCAAACTAAGTAAAGACACGTCATTGTTATATTTGTTTGATACATTCAACAATACCTACCGTTATATTGATGATATTTGTTTTCGTTAAATAATCCAGAGTTCTCTAAATGTACTACCGAAATTTACCCAAAGGAACTTACTTTCAATAAATCTAACATAAACAGCAGTATTTGTCCTTTTCTAGACTTAGACATTTTAATTTTTAGAGGGAAACTCCATACTAAAAGAGACAATTTTTAATTCTCTATTGTTAATTTTCCCTTTTTAGACGCCGATGGTCCTTTGGCTCCATCATACGGTGTTTATATATCCCAACTCGTTCGTTATGCCCGTGTGTGTAGTGATGTCATAGATTTTAACGAACGTAATCAATGCATCACTGGTAAATTATTAAGTCAGGGATTTCGTTACCATAAATTACGTAAAACTTTTACTAAATTCTTTCATAGATACAAAGATTTGATTAGTAAATTTGGCTGTACCTGTAGAAAACTGATTGAAAACGGTATTTCACATCCTAAATTTTACGGTAATATTGTACTATAAGCGCGGAAATCACTTTGTTATCCGTGTAAACCCATCGAACCTTTAGACAAACTTATTAGTAAAGGTTTTCTTACCAATGTTGTAATTAGATCTTTGAATATAGTTAACATTGGCACAAATATCGATTTTGTCATCAGCAAATTAAAACATAACTAAATTTGTATTCTTTTCAAATGTTTTTTTGGGATGTATAAATACACATCCACGTTCATTTTCTATATAGAGATTACTCTATCTATATATTACATTATACATATCTATTAACAGGTAAAACTCCTAACTATCCTACTGCCTGTCGATACTTTTATTTTTGCATTGCACAAGTCATGACTTCTTTGACTGTCCATGACGTTAAAACACTAAATCCCTTGGATGTGTTTTAGTTGATTTTAGTCTCTGATGCATGATTTTTTATTATTAATTGTTTTTGGCTTTTAACTAGCTTTCAGTAACTGCTGGTACTCTCAAATCGTACTTTCGTGTCAATTTGACCTGTTGATACAATTTTTAATGTATATTTGTTATTTAATATTTACTTATTCAGTGTTATATCTAGTCTCACTATTTTTAATATATATCACCTTTGATAAGTGTTTAGTATGACGATAAATTTTCACTTTTGTTCTCATACTAGGAACAACAAAATGATTTATTTTGTAAAAATTATTTCCATACTCCATGTATACCTTACAACAAAATTATTTTTATTTACCTGTGTACGTTATATTATTTGGCGGCATTTTGTCCAAGGTTATGGTTGTCTTTCTGATATTGTTTTACATCTACCACCCTTGTTTTATTAATTTTGTATTTACATTGTGTCATAGATCTAATTTATTCGTTCAGTGTATGTTCACTTGTTTTTGTTAATATGTCTTTTGAGTTTAGCCATTTCAATTGATATTCTATAGTGTGTCTTTCTATGTTGTGATGTTACACTATTGTTTCATTGAGGGTGAAGGTTGGCGCCTATTAAAACGTTTAAACCCGCTGCATTTGTTTGCACCTGTCCTAAGTCAGGAACCTGATGTTCAGTGGTTGTCGTTTGTTGATGTGATTCATAAGTGTTTCTCGTTTCTTGTTTTTTATATAGATTAGACCGTTGGTTTTCCTGTTTTGATGGTTTTACACTAGTAATTTTTGGGGCCCTTTATAGCTTGCTGTTCGGTGTGAGCCAAGGCTCCGTGTTGAAGGCCGTACTTTGACCTATAATGGTTTACTTTTACAAATTGTGACTTACATGGAGAGTTTTCTCATTAGCACTCATACCACATCTTCTAATATCTATAAACAGTATTAGATCCAATATGCAACAAAACCCTATTTAAACCAAAATAGCAGAAGAATTATTTTTGGTTCGTTGATATCACTAAAATGACGTTCATGTTCTTCTATGCGTAAGTAACTGATTTCAAGTTTGCCACGATTTGTAAGCGAGGCCAGGTTTGGCATTTCCAAAAGGTAGACAAGTTAGATTTCGAAAAAACATATGTATACTACATATTAATAGCATATTCCTTTTTGCACTTGTATTATTCCTTCCAAAATTAAGCAAAATTATTTTCCTTTTGATATTTACAACGTCCTTTAAGCAAAAAGTTTAAAATGGTTCCGTTTTGCTGAACGTGGTATTTTTGGCATTTGTCAATACTTTCAGAGAAGAGTGTTACCCGAACAATATAGCCCGGTGACTCAGAATTTTCAAAATTTAATCGTCAAAACTACTACGTGGCTATATCATATATCATTCGATTCGAAAATGTGGGTACTTTAACATTAATTGGATCGTCAAAAGAAAATATGGTGCATAGATCAAAGATCATTAACCATTTTCACGAGAAAACACATTGATCCGATCTAAGTACCCTTTTTGCAGTAGAATGATTGCAAACTTGCATATGCTTTTTTCCTTATTCAACTTTTCATCAAAATAGTGGAAAACCATC